CAGTGGTTACGTAGTGCAGGGTTAAAAGTTGAAACCGAGGGTTTTATTCTTGCTACGCAGGACCAATGCTTGCTAACTAGAAATTACCAAGCACACATACTGAAAAATTGAGTTAGCCCAAAATGCAGATTCTGTGATAAATATCCCGAAACACTTGACTATCTTGCATCATTGCCCACCACTGAATATAAACCCGGTCATGACAGAGTGGGCCAATATCTGCACTGGAAAATCTGCAACACGGAAAAGAAACTGCAAGAAATTGGTATGAACACCACCCAGACCCGATTACGGAGATAGGACCTGTAACAATGTTATGGAACTTCACAGTACACACAGACAGAACAATCAAAACTAATCTCTCACATATCGTGATTAGAGACCGCAAAGCCAAAAATGTGTCTCCTTATTGACATGGTGGTTCCTGCAGACTGCAACGTATCTTTGAAGATCTTCAAACAACTACCAGGACCTATAAATCGAAATCTCAAAAATTTGGCATATGAAAACACCAATAATGCCAGTTGTAGTTGGAGCCCTCGGATTGATTGAAAAAGTTCCGATAGACTATTTGAAGGGATTCCTGTAATTCCATGCCTTAAAGAAATACAATGTACAAGAGTACAGCCCACACCTTACGAAGGGCTTTATCTATGTAAAATATTTGTGATTTTCTTAAATTGCCCAGTGGAAAATATCATGATGCCATTTCTGACCTTAGGTCTTTCGTCGGGACACAGAAAGAAATGAGTATACACCAGAAATCAAAGGAAATAAGATAATAATAATAATAATATTAATAAGTAGTAGTACTCTTGAAAATTTCATGCTTTTCCTATTATAGTTTTCTGTTGAATCTTAATTCTTAATCTAATGATTAAATAAGACAATAACGCGTTCTACGATAATAAAATCCACGTGAAAATTCCTTTATTGCATTGTTAAAAATCCTAGCTTAATAATGTCAACAAAATATTACAATATTAATCACAATGCAGGGTATTATATAAAAAAAAAAGTAAGAGTGTACAAATAAAAAGATTAAAAATTGATAACCTCCTGGGTATGAAAATAAACTACATCCGGTAGCAAGGCCTCTGATCGAGAGGTTTTGAGGAGCGTGGAACAACATCTTAATTGCTGTTGTTCCAAGGCCCACCTTGATTATCTATTATAGGACATGTTAGGGTCCCAGCTGTGGGCAAATAGTTAACCCCAAACTGGGGTCAAAATACTATGAAAGTATAAAAATACATTTTTATAGTAATAATACCAGCAATGCATTTAAAAAAAAAATATTAGCAGTAATACATTTGACCCGAGACAAAAACCCTCTTTACAAAAATACGTCAATAAAACCTGATTTACAAACTTATTTCTTACAAAGAATACATATTGAATTCATACGAACCTATCCTAAAATTCTTGTCGGTATTAAATAACCAACTGAAGTTGATATGCAGTTAAATAAAATAGAACAAAACAATCAGAACTGATAAGTTTTTAATTTCAGTGAAGCAGACGCTAAACACATGAAGCGTTATCGCCTGCTCTATTTTTCATTTCTTTCTTTCTTCTTCTCTTTTCTTTTCTTTCTTTCTTTCTTTCAACTAGTCCATTCTTTCTTTCTATTCTTTCTTTTTTTTCTTTCTTTCTTGCATGTCTTTCTTTCATTGATTTCTTTCTTTCATTTCTTTATTTCTTTCATTTCTTTCATTCTTTCTTTCTCAAAATCAAAACGGCATGGTTAGTTATTTATTTCAGACAATGGTAGGACGTAACGCACGTGCTAACTTACTTAGTAACCCACTAAATTCTCCTCGGGACTGTTTCGACTTGAAGACACAGTGCGAATCTGTGTGACTTCTCATCTTCAGCATGGCTGCTTATTTCCCAGCATGCTCAGGACCATTTGTGTTTCTTCAAACACTCCCATAGCCAACCTGGGTTTTATACTGCAACTATGTCGAGGGATCCTTAATTAGAGTTCAGATATGTACCTCGCAAGGGCATCATACGTTGTTGAATTCAGAGTTGTCCTTCTCTTATATTGGTTGCCAGCCACGACTAGAATAAGAAGAAACCTAAAAAGAAAGCAAAATCAATGAACCAAATGCAGAAACGATGGACCAGATGCAAATACAATGGACCAAATGCAGAATATATTTATGGCCAATACTCTGCCCGTGCTAAAAAATGCTGATGGAGAAAAAACGCGTAACGATGGGTAGTCGCGTAGTTCAGGATTAAAATCTGAAATCGAAGATTTTATTATTGCTGCACAGAGCCAATGATTTCAAGCCAGAAATTACCATGCAAACATACTGTAAAATTATGTTCACCCCAAATGTAGATACTGTGATGACAAACCTGAAACAGTTGGCCATCTTCCTATCAGGTATTAGCATCCACCGAATATAAAACTCGGCATGACAGGATGGACTGGAAAATCTGTAACCTTTATGGGAAGGAAACTACAAGAAATTGGTAGTAACACCCGTAGTAACAGAGATAAGTAACAGTTTTATAGGACTTTATACATAGATAGAACAACAAAAGATAATCAACCAGACATCGTGATCAAGAACCACATGAACAAGATGTCCTTTCTTGTTGACATAGCAATTCCTGTGAACTGTAATGTATCTTTGAAGATATTCAAAACTCTTCAATACAAGGTTCTTGAAGTGGATATCTCAGACATGTGGTTCATAAAAACATTAATAATTCCAATTGTGGTTGGTTCCCTGGATTTGGTTAGAAAAAGTTCTGATAGACATATTTAATGGATCCCTGGTATTCCATACCTAAAATAAATACAAACAAAATTGTGCAATTCACATCTTAAGAAGGGCTTGATCTATGTACAATTTCTGTGAAATATCATGATGGCATTTCTCACCTTAGGTTTTCGATTGGGATCAAGAAGGAAATGAGTTTACAACAAAAACCAAAGAAAATTAATAATATTCGTTTAATTTGGTTTGATATAATAAAATATTACATTCTTTGCTTGTCCTAGGTCACTGGTTATGAGCCCACATTGGATTATAAAATAAATGCTGTTCATTGTTGTGGGAGCAGAGGTTACCATATTATGGGACTTTGCTATCAAAGCAGATCGAACAATACAAGCAAATCACCCAGACATTATTATCAAAGATAGAAAAAAATCTTTGCATATTTACTGACATGAGAGTACCAAGTGACAAAAAACATTTCCGCAAATGTTTTGAACAACTAGGTGCATGAAACTGTCGACCACATCATCTCAGGATGTCCGGAACTAGAAAATAGTGTATATAACACGGTAGCAACATATGTGCAAGACGCACAAAATCGATACCACTGAGAGATGGTATGAGCATCAACCAGACACAGTTAACCAAAATAACGATGTAACTATCCTCTGGGATATGCTAATTCAAACTAGCACGAAAATAAAAGACAACGGACCTGAAATTATCATAAAAGACAAGAAATTTAGGAAGTGTATGCTTATTAAAATAGCAGTACCATCTGAAAGAAACACCTCCATAAAAGTATCTGTCTATATTTCTAAGATGAGGTATTATGTACACTATTTACATTATTCGGACTATTGTCCTCATCTTTGTTGCCATATTTATCACAAAGTTTCGGTCGTTGTACGGTCTGGCCTTCTTCAGGTGGTTGGGATGTCGAACTGAACCCTTTATTTTACTCACTGGAGTAGACTGTTCTAGTTCCACGTGTCATGTCTAATGGATGTTAGTTATCAGTTATCTCCTGTTAATTCCCATCTCCAAGGTCCCCACTGCCTTAACCAGGTATTGAACTCACACTCTTTGGACCCTGTCACTGGATCTAACTAAAGCCTTTATCCCCTGTGCCATGTGTCCTTGTGGACATCTGTGTATTATAAACCTAATGTTTTTCGCTCTACAGAATACAAAGCAGGAAACATAACATACACAAATAATAATGATAATACATTAATCAGAAATAACCAAATATTTTATAATAATGATAATAATATTAATAATAATAATAATAATAATAATAATATCGAATAATAATGATAATAATATTATCAAAAGACAAGGATCTTGAAATGGAAACCTCAGAAATAAGGCACATGAGGACATCCATAATTCCAGTCGTATTTGGAGCACTCGGATTGATTGGAAAAGGTTCCGATAGACTCATTGAAGTGATTCCTGGAAGCCCATGCCTGAAAGAAATACAAAACCTTGTACTCACAAGTACAGTTCACACAGTACGAAGAGCTTTATATGTGTAAAATGTGTTCTCAGCCTTTTTTTTTTGTTTTGTTTTGTTTTTTTATAAAATACATTTCAGAACTTAGATCTCTGGGTGGGACTCGGAAGGAAATATATATACTTCAGAATCCCCAGAAAATAATAATAATAATAATAATAATAATTGTAGTAATATTAGTAGTAGTAGTAGTGAAAAGGATAAAAATCCGACGAAGAAAAAAAATGAAAGTCACTAACAGTGTCTAGCCCGCTTCCTTGGGCCTCATGTAACACTCTAGATAATCGGTCTCTCATGGGGTTATCCAGACTTTTTCCAATTATGTTGTGCTTATGTCTATAGCACCCCCTCTTTATATAGCTTCAAGTGGCTGAATTTTGAATGCAGGATTATCCCCTTCTAGACTGGTTGCCAAACACTGCTAGAAAACCCACTCTAACCGGCTATGTAAAATTGCGTGATCTTAGGGTTTTTTATGAAAATGATCAATGAAAAATGCCATGAAGCTATTTCTGACCTTAGGTCTCTGGTTGGGACCCGGAAGGAAATGTGTACACAACAGAAACCACAGAAATTATTATTATTATTATTATTATTAATAATAATAATAATAATAATAATAATAATAATTAAAGTCCATTCGTCAGAAATGGATTATATAAACAACTATCTTTCTTTTCTTTTTTTTTTTTTTTTTTTTAAATATAAGCATTGGTTTTGTTTTCTTTTTCAGGCCAAAGATGAGCAAAAAAGGATTATCTTTATCCAATCATCTGCGTCGGTCTAATTCGTATCTATCGAGCATTGCCGAAGGAACGCAGTCGGTTGGCTCATCCTGTCCATCAACCGTGGCTACAATTGGCAGTCATTTCTCCAACGGCGGTGTTAACACAAGATGTCAGTCTCTGAACGGAAGCTCTCCCCGGTCAACACTCGCCGATGCGACGCACAAATCGACAGAAGAGTTGATATCCACGCTTAAAAAAGAAGAGGAGGAAAATATCTCGAAAAGAACACGAGCCTCGTGGGATAACAAATTTCAGTATATCTTAGCAGTCATTGGCTATGCTGTCGGCTTGGGTAACGTCTGGAGATTTCCGTATTTAGTACAGAAAAATGGAGGAGGTGAGAGAATGATTTATTTAAAGAGTTAAACGATTGTTGTCTCTATTTTTGGTAGTTACCGTAATAAACTTGAGTTATATTTTTTAAGCATCCTCGTCAGATCGAGATTTTCAGTCAAAAGTCAGGCCCGACGCCGAAACAGTTCAGAAATATATAAACTGTCAGCTGTATACAACCTCTTTCTAAGATCAGTGGTTAAAAATGACTTTGAACGAGTGGAGTGTGAAGGTCTTGGCAAACATCATCCTTCTCTGGACATTGTGAATTGGCGCTAGAGAATCACAAACAAAGAACTGTACCAAATAACAGAAACCACATCACTTGAAGACTTTCAACAGCAACAACAACTAAAATGGATAGCACATATAAATCGAAGAGAACATAATGATATAGTCAAGATGATGACGTTCTATACAACTTCAAATAAAAATGTTTCCATCATTATTGGAAAGAGTAGGAACAGTTACTGGGTAGGAGAAACCTATATTCCTGGAAAAATTCTTTTAAGAGAAAGATTTTAAAAATCTCAACCGAAAACAATATTGGCTGCTCGGTCAATGAATGCCAAGTGTTTCCTTGTAGCGAAACGACTAATATTACTATTGACATTAACATTACAAATTAATGTATTAAAATACCTATATACTACAACTACTACTTACAATAATTTTGGTAAATACAATTAAATTGAGCACTTTCACTGCTAGCGCAGCTATTTGAACCCTTATCGATATCTTTGAGAGATACCATTAGACAATGTTTATTTCAGCATTTTCAAATTTATTAATTTTGCTGCTCCCTTGGATATTTAAATCCTTACATAATGCTATCGATGTTTAGGAGAGAATTACCATTAGAAATTGCTATATAAGATTACTTAAGGTTTACTTTGGCAAATCAAATTTATTAATATATTCACTGCTGGCATGGATATTTGAACCTTACATAATGCAATCAATATTTTTGGTACAATTATCATTAGAAATTCACCCTAAGACGATAAACTACATCCGCCAGCAACGCCACCGATTGAGAGGTTTCGAGGAACCTGGAACCACCTCTTAATTGCTGTTGTTCCCAGGTCCACCCTGACTCGGGTGGAGCACCTGTTAGGGTATCAAATATGGGCAAATAATTAACCCGCAAACGGGTCAAAACACTATGAAAATATAAAAATATATTTTCATAGTAAAAATACCAGCAATGCATTTCTATAGTAAAAATCTCAACAATACATTTTATAGTAATAATACCAGCAATATATTTTCATAGTAAAAATACCAGCAATACGTTTTTATAGTAAAAATACCAGCAATACATTTTCATAGTAAAAATTACCAGCAATACATTTTTCTAAAAAAATAATACCAGAAATATATTTTCATAGTAAAAATACCAGCAATATGTTTTTATAGCAAAAATACCAGCAATACATTTTATAGTAAAAATACCAGCAATATATTTTCATAGTAAAAATACCAGCAATACGTTTTTATAGTAAAAATGCCAGCAATACATTTTCATAGTAAAAAATCACCAGCAATACATTTTTCTAAAAAAATATACCAGCAATATATTTTCATAGTAAAAATACCAGCAATACGTTTTTATAGTAAAAATACCAGCAATACATTTTCATAGTAAAAAATTACCAGCAATACATTTTTCTAAAAAAAATAACAGCAATATATTTTCATAGTAAAAATACCAGCAATACGTTTTTATAGTAAAAATACCAGCAATACATTTTCATAGTAAAAAATTACCAGCAATACATTTTTCTAAAAAAAAAAATACTAGCAATATATTGTCATAGTAAAAATACCAGCAATATGTTTTATAGTGAAAATACCAGCAATACATTTTCATAGTAAAAATTACCGGCAATACATTTTTCTAAAAAAAAAAATACTACCAGTATGATATTTTAAACAAATATTACCAGCAACCCATTTTTGAAATAGAGAATTACCAGCAATAATTTTTTTAAAAAGTAATTAATAATGATCCCAAGAAAATTAAATTTCTGCATTAAATGACAAATAAAGAGTTTATACCCCGCTAAACAAACATTTTATCTACAAACTATATATCGAAAAAACATACCTTTTGCCCTAAAAGCATAAAATTACATATAAAATATTTAAATTCCTGCATTTGATAACCATCAGAGGTTTATATACCGCAAAACAAAATCAACCAACCAACCATTAGAAATGGTTATATAAGACTATTTAATGTTTATTGTAACCATTATTTAATATTTTATTATTCTTTAAATTTATCAATATATCCACTGCAAGCTTGGATATTTGAACCAAATATAATACCGTCGACGTTTTTGGGAGACGTTACCATTACAAATTTCTGTATAAGATTTAAAATGTTATTGACTTAATGTTTATTCTGGCCAATTAAATTTATTAATATATCCACTGCTAGTTTGGATATTTGAAACCTTACATTATGCCATCGATATTTTTGGGAGAGGTTGACATGCAAAATTGCTATATAAGATTACTTAATGTTTATTTTGGCCAATTAAATTTATTAACATATTAACTGCCGACTTGGAATGGCTAATAGTAACATTCAACATTTCCGTAACCAATGCCACAGTCGATTGAAATCTATAAAATCTTTCTCTTAAAAGAATTTTTCAAGAAACTGGGTTTCTCATGTCCAGTAGCTGTTATTGCTCTTTCCAGTATTAATGGGGATTTCCTACCTAACCTTTTTTTTAAGTAGTGTGGAATGTCAAGTTCTTATGCCGTTATTCTCTCATCGAGTTACATGTGCTGTCATGCTTTAGTTGTCGCTGTAGATAAAAATCCTCAAATGATAGCGTTTCTGTTATTTTATAGAGTTCTTCGTTTGTGATGCCGTAGCACCAGTCGGCAAGATTTGAAGAAGGATGGTCCTCGAGAGGAACCACGCGTTTCATTCGCTCAAAGACGTTTTTAAGCTTTGACCTGAGAAAGTGGCTGTATACAGCCGAGAGTTTAAATATTTTTGAATGGAGTCTATGTAAATTTCGTTTCTTGATTACTCAGACACAAAGCGTGAACTGTACTCTCACGATATTCACGAAATGTGTTGATAATGTCCAAAAGTAACAATGCACACAGTGAAATGATTTTCAACAAATAAATTAGCAGCACTTTTACTCTTTGTTGCATAAACATTAAAAAAAAAATTCATCTTACTTATTATAAAACGCAGATTGTGCGTGTGTGTGTGTGTATATGTGTGTGTGTTCGTTTATATGTAGGATCGGATTTCCTACATTTTTCAACCGATTTCAACAAAACTTCACTTATTTTTGGCAGGTAGTGTTTCTTATTGTCTTGCACACCTTTTTCTTTATTTTTACATTCAGAATGCTTTAAAAATTCCATTTACAAGACAATTGTTTATAATAAAATTCTATTCAGTCGGTAGACTCATAACGATTGAAAACAATGTTTTTGTTTGAGTTTGGGTTTGACCAATTCGTAAAAAAAAACAAACAAACAAACAAAAAACTAATTAAGACATGCGTGTCCATCAACCTTAAACAATAATCTTTGTCAATTTTATTTTTCAGTCTTCATGATGGTCGATACTTGACCTATATCTTACTGTTACATCCCCGGGCAACGCCGGGCTCTACTGCTAGTTTATAATAATAGTATACATGAACGAAGTTTTAAAACAGTAATAATTTATGTTTTTCAATGGCTTCTTGGAACTGTACACTTGCACATTTTAGAAAATAATATGGAATTGTAGAAAGAGTACATTGAATTAATTGCTAAGTTTGCAACTAAAAATTTGGTTTACTGTTTCGTGCTAGACAATTTCTCTCGCCAGAATCTATCTTACATATTTATAAGTCAACCATTCGTCCTTACCTTGAATATTCTTGCCACATCTGGTCTGGTTTTCCTGATATATATTTAGAGATTCTTGATAAAGGCCTAAGAAAAAATCTGCAATTTTATTGGTCCTGACCTGGTATCTCGGCTTCAAACCATTTCCCGCCGCCGTAACGTAGCTTCCCTGTGCCTTTTCTGTAAATACTTTTATGGTAATTGTTCTGATGAACTTTCCGCGTTTTAAAAATAGTTATATTTATCCCCCCCCTACCCCAGACAATTTGCACTTATGGGAACTAGACTTGATAGAGACCCCGAGGTATTATGGTGACTGTAGTAAGAATGATAAGTAAGAACGTGTTGTTTTGGTATAAGGGATACTGTGGTATGTTTGGGTCAGTAATTGTGGCTAGCTAAGTTTAAGATAAGACATACTGAAGACCAGCCTTCCTCTTATCCCCTTGGCCTTGTGCCAGATTTTTGTATTTTCAAAATAAATATTACTTTCCGCTATGCTACCTAGGCTTTATCAATTTAAGCGCAGAAACTGATTGGAGTTGAAATGGCTGGATGTAACCGTAAGTTTTATGCTAACAGTTTCTTCTATCACACGACTCGTTTTTGGAACTCGCTTCAGGCCTTCTTGCTGCCTAACCAAGTTTGATCTTCAAATGTTTAAAAGCAATGTCAATTGTTATCTTCTGTCTTCTTAATTCCCGTCCTTTTATTGTTCTCTCTCATCAATAATAGATTTTATCATATTCTTTAACACTCAGTAACCACTTACGTCCTAGTGGCTGTATTGCCTTGCTTGTGGTGAAATTTTTTTTTTTTAAATCCTTAACTTTAAACGTTTACAATGATTTTGGAAAATGTTTTCACTTCTGAAAAATATACGGCAATTCACTTGTTGAGGAGCAAAAAAAAAAAAAGAAAAAAAAAACGCTGTCTATTGACGTCTCTGGTTTAGATTTGGGGGCAGCTAGTACAAAAGAAAGAAAAGGAAATTATATTGCCATGGCTCTCGTGGCTTCTGATCTTGACTGATTGCAAGTGTTAATATCTACATTTTTTGCCGTTGTGAATTAACCTTTGCTTTACTAAGGTTAATTGGGATGCGGAACTCTATTGGTCACCGGCCTACATCCAGCACTTGTAAATGGTCCCAAGAGGTGGCATGGGTGCCGCGACGGCCACACCTCGGTCAACGGCATCGCCCTGCCGGGTAAACTGTGTAAAGGTATTCGGAAGAGTTTTCTGACTACCTTCACACAGCGAAACGGAATGCCTCTCTCCAACCCACCTGTGCAAACGGCCATCGGCCAGTCGCCAGCCTGGGCGTGAAAAGCTGCGACTTAGAGGTCAACGACTTTACCAATGGACGGAGGAACTTCTGAGACGGAATAACCGCGACATCCTCACTGCAAAATAGATCGAAAAGAATGGGTTCTATAACCTAGGGTGGTAACCAGTCTAGGAGAAAGAAGCTCTGAATTTAAACCACCTGCCGCCATGTATTTTCTACCTCTGTAAGCAAAGGCTAAAAGAAAGTAACTTCAAAAACGAAACCACCTCTGGATGGAAGGACGGGTTAACCACAAGATTCCCGCTGCAAAAGAAACCAACAAGCCATTGCACTATTTTGCCTTGAATGTCACCTTGAACCACAGGGGAGTAGTGTTAACAACGGTGCAATTGCTCAAGCTGAATAGATGAATGAATGAATAAATATTGGCTACAGTAAATATCCCGTTCAGTGGCATAGATTTGCTTGTCACCTGCCCAAACATAACGGATTGGACATATCTCCTAGCGGTTGACAAACAGTGCATCTCTATTCACGATTTTATTTGAATGATTAGTTTTTTTTTCAGGTTATTTAAAGCCAGAAAATATCTTTAGACTGTAAGAATGTATTTTTTTTTTAGATAATAATGGTTTTATTGATACACGTTTTACTAATTAGCCCATAGCTGGCAGGTGAATTGGTGGATTCAAACCTTTCCCAAGGGTATTATATGCGTAAGTGAATATGACGAATCTAAAGGGAATTGGAATTCGACTCTCCGATTGAAAAATCTGAGCCATTATTTTTTACTGAATAGATAAAAACAATAACATTAAAATCTTCTACAAAAATCAAATACACGCCAACTTTTAGCAAGATGAATTTTCACTTAGAAATATTATAAAGAAATACACTACTCCAATCGACCGGAACAAGAAAATTAAATTAATTACAAAAATAAATAAAGAAAGAACTGACCTTATAATAAAAAAATAACAGGCCTGGAAAATTAAAACTTAAGGAACTGTCCGCCTGATCAAACCAAACTCATATCAAATGTAATGTCAATCGACATCTCCAGTTGCCTTGATCTATCCTCTTATCCTTCTCCTCATCCTTTCCTCTATCACTCCTATCTGATCTTGCTCCAAATCTTCTGTAACCCCTTACGTCCTAGTGGCTTCCCGCCTTGCTTGGGGTGAAACGCTTAAATAAAATAAATAAATTAAATAATAAATTAAATCGGTCACACTACTACATACCTATCCAAACTATTTACGTTACACCTATCTGACCACAGCTCCATTAGAACACATTTAAACACACGCAAAAAAAATACCAGGCATCAGCCGAAACATACTAGTAGAAAATAGAATCATAATAAGCTCATCTACATGTAAAAAATAAAGATTAAAAATAATGGAAGCCCAAATAATAAAACTATAAAAAAAAACGAACACTCAGTAAGATTAACTATGAACATGGCCACAATGTACTGACCATGTTCGGGGAAATAAAAACATTCCTATAACTCTAGATACATACATAACACAACCCATACATTCAGTTAAAGAAATAAATAAAAATCATCCTTGATAATGGCTAAAAGTATAGCCGAAAGCTCTCAGAATTTCGACCTATCCTTTGTCTCCTTCCATTTATTTTTTTTTTTTCATTTCACAGGAGCTTTCCTTATTCCTTACACACTGATGCTAGCTTTAGAGGGCATCCCGATTTTTTTCCTTGAATTGGCAATCGGACAACGCATGCGCAAAGGTGCCATTGGAGCATGGAATCAAATTTCTCCCTATTTGGGCGGCATTGGTCTCTGCTGTGCCATGATTTCCTTCATCGTCGGACTTTATTACAACACAATAATCGCTTGGTGTCTCTATTATTTAGTCCTCAGTTTTCGAAGTACTCTTCCTTGGAGGGCCTGTCCAACCACACAGATTGGAAAATACAAAAATGAGACGCGTATCATCGAAGAATGCAGGGTAAGTACAACCCACCCCCACGTTAAAAAAATTAAAATCCTTAAATTTAAGAAGCAAGATATTCTACTAAACAAAAGGAATGAATTGGTACCCAACTATCGCCATTGGAAAAAAATTCCAACTGACATAACATTATTTCAACCCCACACTCCAAGTGTCGCTACAGGAATAAATTTCAACTAACATATCAGCCGATCCTCGCACTCGTCTCTTTCATTTATATTTTTATATGTGAACTTTTTCTATTGCGACATCTTCCCTTTATGTAAACGTTTTCTATATGTGAATTTTTTTTTAAAATGTGGAATTTCCTTCTAAATATTTCTCTCCCTGTTAAATGTTTTCTATATGTGAATTTTTTTTAAAATGTTGAATTTCTTTCTAAATATTTCTCTCCCTGTTAAATATTTTCTATACGTGGAATTTTTTAAAAGATGTGTAATTTCCTTCTAAATATTTCTCTCCCTGTTAAATGTTTTCTATATGTGGAATTTTTTAAAAGATGTGGAATTTCCTTCTAAATATTTCTCTCCCTGTTACATGTTTTCTATATGTGGAATTTTCGTCTATCTTTTATTGTTTTTATAATACAATTTTTTTAATATTGAATTTAAATTTAATCCTTTACATAATTTTTATATAATTATTATAAGTTCGATATAATTTAAATTATAATAATATTTGAAAATTTATTAATATTATACTGATATAATGAGATTGGTTATATTTAAATGAAATTAATATATTAATAATTTGCTTAAATCTTTCACTGTAATTTTTACGATATAGTTAATGATGTAGTATTGAATGGATTAATATTAACATCTTTTTTTATAAAAAATATTAATTTTAAATTCTTACTTCGATACTATAATAATTTTAAGTTCCTCTCTAAAATGCTTTATGACCATTTTTGTTCATTCTTCTTCTTGCACAGGTGTTGATAGGTTACGTTTATGTTCATGTTTATTTTCAACCGTCGAGTTTATCTGTACTCGACTCCACACAACCACTTAAGTCCCTTAACCCTCTTTATATATATATATATATATATATATATATATATATAAACTACTTCCTCTATCATAGACCAATTCTAACTCCCTCTCCTTTTATCTTTTCCGTTCTCTTTATTTCCTTCTTTCCTCCCTTTGCCTTTCAAATTTCCTGTGA